AATTCAGCGCCAGAAGGCTCCTGATTGGTCAGATTAATATTTGATATCGATTAATATTTGATATCGATAAGAGTCACAAATCTGAAATTGCGATCCACAAGCCAGCATACGTTGTTAGTCACCACTTCAAGATAATAATTACTTCAGAGTAAAAATGTACAGAAAAGGCAAAAACCTGAAAGTCCTTGTATCATGCAAATTAGCTCAAAAGAGAAATTAGCATAAGAAGTCTGACTTTTCATCATAGCTACAACAGGAAAGCTGCCGTCCACCACAATTTTAAACTATTCATTGCTCAAAATTGACAAAATGTATCCAACTTTAAGCACATATTAAAGTGATAGTCTGTAACTCTAAATGAATTACAAATTTTAGGAAATGTGTTAAATTGACCTCCTGGCCTTAAATGTTGATATAAAATAAGTCATTTTATTAATTCTAATATTACGGGCAAGTCCCGCCTTCCCTGCTCTTAGCTATAGCTCAGAATCCACGGTGCCGTCGAGGTTAACCAATCGAGTCATGCCAAGGGCTGTCAATCATCGGCGCTGATGCTCGCAGCTGCTCATGCTCAGTTGTTTGTTTTCACGGAGCCTCTATTAGGCTCTGGAACTACATGAAAACTGAACAAAGAATTCTGAACATCCACGCTGAGGTACTTATGTATATACTGAACCTATATCCATAATTAGATCCTCTGCAGATGTGTCCTATAATGTGCAATTCATGATAATAGCACTTCCTGGTTTGCCGCGATCGCTTTTTTTGTGCATAAAAACATATTTTTTTTCATTAAAACGTTCACAAATAATTCTGAAAACCTCTGTGCATGTGTATTAATAATGTATATGTATAATATGTTCTCTGATTAACATTTCAAAGTGTTACGGAAACGTAGGTGTAGACCAATCAGAAAGGAAGGGGGAGGGAGGGTTGCGTCGTTTTTTTCAAATCAAGTACCTCTCTGTCTCTCTGACAAACTCCAGACAATCACTTTCACTGCTGGTTTTACAGATTTACAAGAAATGTCTCCCTTGGAATGAAAAACAGTTCTTGAAAAAAGACTAAATGACAAATCTTGTTTTAAGACAGTTCAGAATGTACTGAAATTAAGATAATAACCCCTTATATCATGCATTTATGACCTCATATTTCATCGTTTTCTGCAGTGAAGCCTGTTTGGAGTGAGCGTAGCCTGTTAGGGCAATGGTCCATGTGGGAAAGAGTGCATTTCAGAGGCAGAAGATAACCTGTACTGAACATATTGCTTTAGTCCAGGATATTATACTTGCATCTTGTAAACGGCCACTACCGTTATGACCCTATTCTGAAAACTCCCCTGATAAAAAAAGGCCCGGCCGTCTGCAAAGTTTATGGCCCCAGTCTTCAGAGCCATTCCGTTCACAAACACTAAACGGATCTTCAGGGTCATCTCCAAGGCCTCCGGGGACGCAGAAAACCCGGCAATAAAAATAAAAAAAACGACAAGACAAGGAGACAAACGATGAGTGATGTGCCGATGAGGAGAGCGCTGGTCCCACACCCAGCTGAGAGCACCGTCCACCGCCCAGAAAGACCCATGAATCATCCCCCCCCCCACCGCCAGTCGCACAGTCACTGGAGCAGACGTGTGGTTCGCCGGCCAGCATCTCCACGCTCCAATCAGACACGGACGCACTGACTGAATGTAATGGGGGGACTTGGAAAGCAATATGCAGACGACTGGAGAGACCAAACACAGTGGAAAACAGAGCGGAAAGTCCAACGGAGAAGTGCTCGTTAGTGCTTGGATTGGAGAAAAGTGTCCAATCAAAATGCATTAATTGAATAAATGTTAGTATGAGGAACAGGGACTGGACTCTGAGGAGCACAGGGACTGGACTCTTGCTGGGACTCTGAGGAGCACAGGGACTGGACTCTTGCTGGGACTCTGAGGAGCACAGGGACTGGACTCTTGCTGGGACTCTGAGGAGCACAGGGACTGGACTCTTGCTGGGACTCTGAGGAGCACAGGGACTGGTGTCTTGCTGGGACTCTGAGGAGCACAGGGACTGGACTCTTGCTGGGACTCTGAGGAGCACAGGGACTGGTGTCTTGCTGGGACTCTGAGGAGCACAGGGACTGGACTCTTGCTGGGACTGTGAGGAGCACAGGGACTGGACTCCTGCTGGGACTGTGAGGAGCACAGGGACTGGACTCTTGCTGGGACTCTGAGGAGCACAGGGACTGGACTCCTGCTGGGACTCTGAGGAGCACAGGGACTGGACTCCTGCTGGGACTGTGAGGAGCACAGGGACTGGACTCCTGTTAGTGCCCAGAGTCAGGACTAAACATGGGGAGGCTGCTTTTCAGATTCATGCTGCTAAAATCTGGAACAATCTTCCTTAAGATGTGAGACAGGCCTCCTCTCTGACAATGTTTAAAACCAGGTTAAAGACAGTTCTGTTTAGCTGTGCTACAACTGAGGGATTTTATATTTGTATCTTTCTTTTTAATGTTCTGTGATTATTTATGATTTTAATGCTACCTTGTTCAGCACTTTGAGTTGCCTTGTGTATGAATTGTGCTATACAAATAAACTTGCCTTGCCAGGTGTCCAGTAGCAGAATTGAAAAATAAAATTGATCATTCTAAAAAGGTAACAATAGTAATGGGTGGAGCAGGACGGGTCACAGCAGCAGAGGGGGAGTAGGCAAGGCAAGGCAAGGCCGGTGGTCTAAAGCCGGACTGAAACATATCAAATGAGTTGTTGATTATAAGAAATCTAGTAAGCTGTAGGTAGACAACTTTTTCAAGGACTTTCCCCATAAATGGCAGATTTGAGATGGGACGATAGTTGTTAAGTACCGTAGCATCCAGACTGCTCTTTTTTAGCAGGGGCCTGATGACTGCAGTTTTCAGGGCCTTTGGGAATATTCCAGAATTAAGGGACATGTTTACTATCTGTGTGAGTGAAGGTAACAGACTTCTCAGAACAGACTTTAGAAATCTAGTGGGTAGTACATCCAAGCTGCATGTGGAGGAGCTCAAACTGGAGATTATCTCTTGGACAGTTTTATCATTTACAGGTGCAAAGTAAGTTAGCTCAAAGAGCCTTTCAGGCTGTTGGATGGTTATCTGTGGATTGGAGACAATGGCGTTTTTGATGCCTTGAACCTTGTCATTGAAAAAATGTGCAAACTCATTACATTTACGTTTGGAAGTAAGCTCTAATGGCATTTGAACATGGGGGTTTGTTAATCTATTAACTGTTGAGAACAGAACACGCAGATTGTTGCTGCAGCCTTCAATCATTTCAGAAAAATACCTTTCTCTCGTACTACGTAGCACCCGGTTAAACTTGCACAACTTATCTTTGAAGATCTCGTAATCTACCTGGAGGTTGGACTTGCGCCACTTCCGCTCGGCCCTCCGGCACTCTCTCTTTTGTGCCCTGACCGAGTCTGCTTTAGCCCACGGCGCCTTCTGCTTATTTTTCACTATTTTAACCTTCACAGGAACGATGGTGTCCAGAACTTTCAAAACACTAGAGGTGACAGAGTTAAACAGTTCGTCTACAGTAGAATACGATGCATTCTCAAAGTTTATCATTCCCATAAATAGTTCACCTGTATTTTCATTTATGTGTCTTCTTCGTACAGTTGCAGAGTCCACTGGTGGTTTGTTAGTGAAACACATGTCAAAAAATATACAAAAATGATCCGAAAGCGCAACATCGACCACATTTACATTAGAAATGTTCACCCCCTTTGTAACTAACAGGTCTAGAGTGTGCCCTCTGCTGTGGGTGGGGCCACTCACATGCTGAGTGAGACCAAAAGATTCAAGAACAGAACTCAGCTCTTTAGCATTTCTGTCATCAACATTATCCACATGAATATTAAAATCACCTGTAATAACTAAACTATCAAAATCTGTGCATACAACTGAAAGCAACTCTGTAAAATTATCAATAAAACTGTGACATGACTGCGGTGGCTTGTATAGGACAACAAAAAGTATTGGAGGAGATTGTTTTTGTTGTATTTTAAAAGACACATATTCAAAAGACATATTCCCAAGAGACATTCTATGGGAGACAAAGTGGTCTCTGAAAATGGCAGCTAAGCCTCCTCCTTTTTTGTTTTCCCGTATTTCAGATTCAAATTTGAAATTTGGTGGTGATGCTTCTATTAAAACTGCATTTTCTGTATTTTGGTCAAGCCATGTTTCAGCCATGAACATAAGATCTAGATTATAAGAACAAATAAAATTATTGATTAAAAAGACTTGTTACAAAGAGATCTGACATTTAGCATAGCAAGTTTCAAAGTTTCAGGATCAGCGGTTGTGGTCGGCTGATTCTTACACGGAACAAGAATTAGATTTTCCTGATTAGACTGATTAACTTCAGATGTTTTTCTGTAATGTATTCTTTGTGTTATCACTAAGGGAATGGCACAGGTGGCTTCATGACAGGGCCCCAGCCGGGTCTCTCCTCTAACTAGACTGCCAGTGGCTGCGAAGCAGAGACCCTGTGCATCCTAGTGTTTAGAGAAAAGAGGGGAAGGGGAAGGCGGGGGAAGAGGATGGAGAGGCGGGTGGTTCTTGGGAGTTGGATGGGGGGGGGTTGAAGGTGGATGGGTTTTTGGTGATGGGTTAGGGGAGGGGCAGGCTGAGTTGGGTGGTAGACGAGGGGGGAGTGGAGGTGGAGGGTTTCTTGGTGCTGGGTTAGGGGGGAGGTGGGCTAAATGAGCAGGAGGGGGGGGGGTGGAATACTTATGGGGTTAGAGGAGGGACGGGTGGATTTTGTGGGAGAATTTGAGTTGGACGCCCTAGGTGGCTTTGGAGGTACGTATGGGGAGTAGTTTTGAATGTTAGATAGGACTCTTGATCTGGCTACAGTGGGTGTGAGAGGAATAGTCTTCATCGCCGATCTTATCATGCCTGCCGAGTGTTCCGGTAATTCCAGTAGTGAAGGCGGGGATAGAAAACAAAGGGAAAGGTCGTCCTCATTTTCCCTAGATGGAGTGGATGTAGCGGGGGGGACCCAAGCCGGGTCCATAGAAGATGATGAGGGAGTCTTTGGTGGAGACAGAGGTGGTTGAGGAACCCCCAGTACAGGTCTGTCTGTAGCCTGGAGCAATGGGGGAAGCTTCACGGGGGCTGTAGGTGGGGAAGGTGCTGCTGAAGATGATGGAGCAGCCACTGCTGCTGCTGAAGATGATGGAGCAGCCACTGCTGCTGCTGAAGATGATGGAGCAGCCACTGCTGCTGCTGTATCCACTGCTGCTGGTGCTGTATATGCTGATGGCGCTGATGAAGATGTGGCAGCTGCTGATGATGCTGGGGGTGGAGGCGTTGAGCTCTTTCGGAGCCGTGGAGGTGTTGAGTTCTTTTGGAACCTTGGAGGTGTTGAGTTCTTTTGGAACCTTGGAGGTGTTGAGTTCTTCTTGAATTGTGGAGGTGTGGAGTTCTTTTGAGGCGGTGGGGGTGCAGAGACCTCGGGAGTCGGTGGAGATGGTCGTGATGTCTGTGCCCTTTGCTTCTTCTTTCTCCCTTTCGACGGCTGCACGCGCTGCGCAGGCTGAGGTCTTAGGGCAGATGCAAAGTTATCCATCAACACTTTTACTCCGTAGTTGTTCAGATGTGGACCTTTGCGTGAACACTCATTGAGTAGGAATGTATTTAGCTGATACAGACGGCTAAACTTCTCAATTTTTCCATCTATATTTGGAAGTGGTCCACTAAGAAAACATTTTATGTCCATTTTCTTGAGGTCATCCAGTAACAGCGTTAAATCCATTTGTAACTTCTCGCTTGCCTTCTCATTAGATATCTACCGCCCCCGTGTGGATCAATAATGTACGCACACCACTGTTCTCAGATAACACTTTAGGCAGAAGAGTCCTTATCTCAGCAACTTTTGCAGAGTGAACTGAGACAGTGAGCATGGACTCCATGTTTACATTTTTCACCGAACCATCTCCGATAAGGACACAGTTTGTCCTTGGTGGAGGCGCTGCAGTTGTTAGCGGCTTTGTTGTTTCAGAAAGGGGTAAAAAGCGGTTTGAAGTCTTCAGAAAATTTAGTTGTGGCCTTATTTCACTCCTATTGTCATTCTTAGCTTTGTCAACTTTGGGTTTAGCTCCACAATTGTTCCAATAATTCTCATTGTTGATTTTGGGAAAAGAAATGACGTCATAACTTACATTTCCAGTCTGTCCATTCATCCCATTTTCACTCATTGGAAGAGTCGGGTTTAGTCTGTTGTATATTTTAAATATACACTAAACAGATGTGACAATATTTGACCATTTGAACATCATAGCCAAAAAAGACCTGTGCCCTCAGGTCTTAAGTCACAAGGACACAAGATAGTACAGGAATCATAAAAATGACCAGCTTACAAAACCAGACAATTATTGACTCTAAGTATAAACAGTGTTCTCTCCCACTTTTGGCAGAGCAAAGTCCAACACAATCAGGCGCCGCAGAGGTGGGGGCCTTGTTTGCTAAGACTGATATGGAAGACCAAAACCAAGACCAGAGACCAGACCAGAGACCAGTCTCAGACCATGTGACGTCATCGGACATGTTGATAAAACTGGGGGTAGGACATTTTGAGCAGTCTGAGCAGGGATAGAGAGACAGAGAACATGGCAGAGCGCCTGCATGTTCTCTGCACACTTTCAGGCCTGGAGGGAAAGTTTAGAATGGCTCAGCATAGGGTTAGTTTTAGAGAATTAATGGCTCCAAGAGTTTTGTATCGATATTTAATTGTAAAGAGAATTAAATGTTCTATTTTTAACTCTTGCATCTTTGTCTTACTTCTGCATCAACTTTGAACACGTCTGTCAAGGGCATTTTTGACAGTCTATCCAGAGGATAGACTTTAAAGCAGCTCTCCTGGTGTACAAGTCTCTCCATGGCCTTGCACCAAAGTACATCCATGATATGCTAGTCCCATATGAACCAGCCCGGACTCTGAGGAGCGCAGGGACGGGACTCTTGTTAGTGCCCAGAGTCAGGACTAGACAGGGGGAGGCTGCTTTTCAGATCTATGCAGCTAAAGTCTGGAACAGTCTTCCTGAGGATGTGAGACTGGCTGCCTCTCTGTCAATGTTCAAATCCATGTTAAAGACTTTTCTTTTTTCCTGTGCATACAACTAGAGAATTTTATCTTTTTAACACACCTTGTTATTTATTGTTGTAACTTTTTGTGTTTTTAACTATTTTATTGTTTTTAATTACTTGTGTGATTCTTATGTTTTTAAATTACTTATGTGATTTTAATGCTTTTTAATTACATATGTGTTTTTAATTGTATTTTAATGGTGATGATTTGTGCATTGTGTGGTGTGGACTGTGAGGCGCTTTGTGTTGCCCTGTGCAGGAAAAGCGCCCTATAAATAAAGATTGATTGATTGATTGATTGATTTTTGACAACAAGTCCCATTTCTGTTTCCACAATAGATATCCGTGTTTGAAGAGATTTGAGCTGATATTCCAAAGCACAACAGCCGCCGCAGACGCTTCTCCGTCTCTTTCGTCCCGACATGACTAAAGTTGATAAATTCCACAAAGCTGAAGTGTGTAGAAGGAGTAATCCTCGTTTTGTAAATAAAATGATTAAAGAAGAAACAAAAAATGTAAATAAAATGATTCAAGGAGATTAAAAGGCGAAGCAAAAGCAGAGCAGAGAGACACGACTGCTCTCTCGAGAAGCAGGAAGCAAGTAGTCTCTGGGTGGAGCAGGACGGGTCACAGCAGCAGAGGTGCAGTAGCCTCTGGGTGGAGCAGGGCAGGTCACAGCAGCAGAGGGGGAGTAGTCTCTGGGTGGAGCAGGGCAGGTCACAGCAGCAGAGGTGCAGTAGCCTCTGGGTGGAGCAGGACGGGTCACAGCAGCAGAGGTGCAGTAGTCTCTGGGTGGAGCAGGACGGGTCACAGCAGCAGAGGTGCAGTAGTCTCTGGGTGGAGCAGGACGGGTCACAGCAGCAGAGTTGCAGTAGTCTCTGGGTGGAGCAGGACGGGTCACAGCAGCAGAGGTGCAGTAGTCTCTGGGTGGAGCAGGACGGGTCACAGCAGCAGAGGGGGAGTAGTCTCTGGGTGGAGCAGGACGGGTCACAGCAGCAGAGGTGGAGTAGCCTCTGGGTGGAGCAGGACGGGTCACAGCAGCAGAGGGGGAGTAGTCTCTGGGTGGAGCAGGACGGGTCACAGCTGCAGAGGTGGAGTAGCCTCTGGGTGGAGCAGGACGGGTCACAGCTGCAGAGGTGGAGTAGTCTCTGGGTGGAGCAGGACGGGTCACAGCTGCAGAGGTGGAGTAGTCTCTGGGTGGAGCAGGACGGGTCACAAGGTGGAGCAGCCTCTTGATTCGTAGCATTTTCTCTTCGGTAGTCCAAAGCAAGTCTCTGTGTGTGTCTCTGAGTGTGTCTCTGAGTGTGTCTCTGTGCGTCTCTCTTTGTGTGTCTCTGTGTTTCTCTGTGTGTCTCTGTGTGTCTCTGAATGGGTCTCTGTGTGGGTGTCTCTGTGTATGTCTCTGTGTCAGTGTCTTTGTGTGTCTCGGTGTCTGTGTTTCTGTGTGTGTGTCTCTGTGTGTGTCTCTCTGTCTGTGTGTGTCTCTGTCTGTGTGTGTGTCTCTGTCTGTGTGTGTGTGTGTCTCTGTCTGTGTGTGTGTGTGTGTCTCTGTCTGTATGTGTGTCTCTGTCTGTATGTGTGTGTCTTTGTCTGTGTGTGTCTGTGTGTCTCCGAGTGTGTCTCATGTGAAAATCGACAATCCTCAGAAAGTCCAAATACCCAACTTGTGAATAGTGTGTAGCTGCATAGAACAGAACAGTCACCCACATGGATTGTTTTTGTTGTGGTATTTTGCATAACAACTATTCCATATTTGTGTTGCTATGGAGATCCTTTCCTCCATTAACGGCGTGAGACCAAACTGATACATATTCATTAGAGCTAGATTTGGTGGTCACTTGGGAGAAACTGATTTGTGGTCTTTCTCTTTCACTGGAGCAGACAATTGAAATGCACAATTACACACTATATGAAGACTGCAACAGAGGAGCTGAACAATCACAAGCTATTAGGCACCAATGAATTATGGGTAATGCATTTTAAACATTAATGGAGACGCAGCTCGACTTTCACACATGCTCAGGCGAAAGTGTGAGTCGTGAGGAGGTGGGAAGACTGAAGGTAAAAGATTCATACAGTCATTTAATACAAAACCAGAAGATGCCATTAGCTTAATTTGGTTTGTTACGACCAACGAGTAAATAATGGGTTGTTTCTTAATGAAGGAAACTGCAAAGATATTATTTAAACTTGAAACTTATTCAATAGCGTAAAAAATGGCTTTAAAAAATACATTAAATTGATCCGAGGTTATTTACTGGCTGTGCAGCTTAACGTGATATTTAGATTTTTCATTATTAACCTTAATTTAACAAGGAAAGAACCAGTGAATTTCCTTTTCAGGGGTTAGAGAGGGGGTTAGTAGTGTAACAGGAGCACCCGGAGAAAACCTACGGCATCACAGGGAGAACATGCAAACTCCACTCAGAAAGGAGCTGCTGAAGGTGGGACCTTCACGTTGAGAAGAGAGAGTGGCAGCACGGAATGGTTTTTTAAATATTTTTACAAATCCAAAGTGATGCACCTGAGAACGTCTTCATAGAAATGACTTTTAACAAAAACCAAACTTTATCAAACATCTACTTTTGCAGCAACCATTGAGCTGTGAGCGACTCGACTCAGAATCACTCAGATTGTGCAAAAGACAGAAGTGTGAGACATGTTAAAGGTTGAAAATATAGTTTGTGCAGGACATAATTATGTACAATAATAATGTGGGAATTAAAAAACATTTACTTAAACAAGAGCACGTCTGTGGAAATGTGCAGTATGTGTACAAAAACAAATGTCCTTTATGTCTGCTTTCCTTATTTATATAATATTAATATATGAATAATATGAGCTTAATATTGAGTGAGTTCAGACAGATCCCAAAGGAAGGAAAGGCAGAGAACAACAGAACACCGGGAAACGGCATCCTCCGTCCTCAGTGAAGACAGACAGACGGATGAGCACCGCCCCTCTCTGTGTGTCTCCCTATCCCCCCCTCCCTCCCTCCCTCCCTCCCTCTTCTCACTTCTTCACAGTGCATCACCATCCGTCAGAGCACCACTGACAAACAGCAATTACCCCAATCGACAGCTAACGAGAGCACAGCCATCGCTCAGACGCAGGACGTCCCATAAAGCCGCACACATAACTATTAATCTGCCTCTTCCACAGACAACGTGGGCCTTTGAATAGCTCCACATTTCACAGAGAGCTTGTTCGTACGCCTGCCACCTGCAGCGGGAGGCGCCTTCAAACGCCAGACACGGCAAAGGAAGATGGAAAAACACTGTTCAGGTGTCGGGCCCTGATTTAAGAGGTTCAAAGTTGTCGATGAAAAGCAGTGGAATTCCGTATGTGCAGAACATGTGATCGTGCTGAGTATGAAACTATGTTTCCATTGCAGGCTCACATTACACCCTGGAAACATGTATTTGGCTCATCTTTTACAAATCTAATCTGATCTAATCTTTGTTCCCTTTGTGTTATCATGGAAATATATATAATGATGTAATGCTGCTGAAGCGATAATCGGCACAACCAGGTGGAATATGAAAGAACATTTAAGAACCGGGTAATGTTGCTCCCATCAGCACCAATGATCAAATTTAACTCACGTATAACACTAGTGATCAGTAATACATCTAGTAAATAGTAAATATACAATATTCTATAATCCTATTTAATTGACACAATATACATGATAATGAAAATTATAAACATGAAAATTATATGGATATGTGGTGATGATGATGTTATGACACCTAAATTCATATAAAATATTAAAGTAACAAGAATATAAACTTATTATACATATACTGTATAAATCAAGGGCATATTAACTTGAATATCACTGTTGCATAACTGCACCACTGACTAAGCTATAGCAACCATAATTTAAGTTAATTAAATTAGAATAATTAATAGGGGGTGGGAGTTTAAAAGTCTTAACTTCTTCCCACTCCTTTTCGAGCTGACTTTTTGTTATTTATTATTTATTGTTTATTTGTTTTGTATTGTTTTTGTTTTTTTGTTTTGTTTTTCTATTCAGTTGTATTGCTGTTATTCCTTGTTCTTGTCTGACATGGCTCGAAATAAAATTATTCATTCATTCAATGTCTCG